ATGGAGCTATCGATAAGTAACTGAGTAGCGCTTAAGACATATAATGTTGAGTTATATTTATGCTTCTCCAGGACACCGCAAAAGGAAGTTAAATGATTTTTATTGTTATAAAGTTCTTTACAAAATTGATAACGTTAATTATATGTTCATTTATTGCTAGTTCATTTGTAGATATGCTATTCCTCGACCGAGACTTTTCTTCAATTGCATCAAAAGAGTCTCAGTTGCGGTTGTATTAACTATTTTTTTTTTTTATTAAATCCGATTTCTTTAAGAAATCTGATCTATTAAAAAAAACTCATTGAATTTTTTTTCTATATAATAATTTATATTGAAAAAAGCTGCTACACAATAATCTGGCTATATTTGAAATTGTAAAAATATATTTATGTATACCTCAGACAAATTTGTCAAAGAATTAAATAAAGCGATGTGAATGATATAAATTTTTTCATGTTATATGTTTGTTATTTATTGAATCGCTATATACTATTTACATTATTAAAATATGTGAAAAATCAAATCAAATCTAAATTTGGATCAATTTATATTATTTAACGTAATTATCGAATCTAAATCTGAATCAATTTATATATACAATTATTTAAATTAGTTATTAGTATATAAAAAATCTTCCTGAGCTTTTGCAGTGTCCTAATTACATTGAAATGCCGTTCAAGCACCAATAAGCGATATGTATTTAATAATTATGTAAGAATTCTTTCGTTTAATGACTAGAAACTGATTAGTCACAATAGACATTGACAAGTTTTTGTGTCTATCGGCAATCTGTTGTTATACGTTACATATAATAGCGTATCATTGAACGGTTCATACATTACAACTCTTGCAAAATTAATAATGCTATAGAATCGCATGGAATTATTGGTGTTTGATCGTGATTGCGATCCTAGCAGTGACAAATATGTATAACTGCTGTATTTATTGTAACACATTTTCATTGACAGGATCACAATACCAATATACTTATCTATAATGATTCAAAATGGTCATTCTCCAGTTAGGATCAGTCTACAATATATAATGAACACTATAGGAAAATGTTAAGTAAAGTAACACGACCTGGAGATGAAATGCGACCATCTCTTAATTTTTCAATTGAATCTTAGCTTCCACACATTATCATGAATAAAATACGTCTAATTAATGACCGTAATGGTGTTTTTCTCTTTTTTCTTTTTTTTTTAATTCTTCGCTGTTCGGAATTGATCATTTTATATATTTTGTGTGTATATTTTTTCATCGCTTTATTTGAAGAAAAAGCAATTTAAAAATCTATTTCTATTGAGTCGCATATGAAAATTATACATAAAATCACGTATTTTTCCAGAATTACTCTGGCTACGTGCGTTAGAGATACGTGTGAAAGATTAAGTAGTTAACGTTTAAATTGGTAAAACACATACGTAATGCGATATACACTGTCCCTATGCCCCAATTTGCTTTTTTACGGGGGCCAGAAGCAACCTGGGGTTACATATTCATGTATCGTAAAATATTGAGAAATGAAGAAAAATAGAAATTTCCATACATCTGTCATTCGGGTAAAAAGTAATGATACGCTGTATAGGAAATTTCAGCGAATATAAAATAAAATGGAAATAAATATTAATAAAGAAATTTGTCCCGTTGCGTCAAGACTATTACAAAGTTGTTTTAAACTTCGATTAGAAACACAGCCTGGAAACGGCGAATTTTGTCTGGTTGAGAAGCAAGGGGAATAGAAATTTCCGTACACCTATCGTTCGCAGGTAGACAGTAATGATACGTTGCGTCGGAAATTTCGATGAATCTAAAAAAAAAAGAGAAAGAAGAGAAGGCAATAATTCAAAATTTGTCCCGTTGCGTCCGGATTATTATGAAATTGTTTTAATTTTGCTGAGAAATAATCCTGAAAGAACGGTGAATTTTGTATTATTGTTGGGAAATGAGTAAGAATACTAGAGTGGAAGAAACTTAATAATGAATGAAGATAAATATTGAGAAACGGTACAAACTTCGAATATTCATGTAACTTTTACTTCTTGATTTTAAGTTCTATGCGTCTCCATGTAAACTGTATGAACCTTACCTTTTATTGACATGGTGTAACGACACAGAGTTTTGTACCGGCGTTCTCAATTAAGCGACTTGCTGTCTTCTATTCATTGCTCTTGTATTATATGCGATTTACTGAACAATAAATACAAACGGTTTACATCAACGCTCTATAACGGTTAGTAAACTGTGTTGTTGTTCATTAAAGTCGTGTGCATTTTTATTCATAATGCCCGATACTCGGTACATTGAAAATTTGTAAGAAATGTTCGCGATGATGGATCTATCCATTAAATGGAAGTTTGTTTGAGACATTTGCTGGAAAAAAATTATTTATTGACTCTTCGAGACTCTAGTTGGGTTTTGTGTTGATACCGATCGCTTTTATAAGTGGGCCTTTCTTGTTCATGTGGCATTCAGTATTACAAGACGCAGTGGTAGATTCCGTTATATACATATAGTTTTTCAAGAGCTAAGCAAGATAAAGATTCAAATTAAATAATTTACATTGCATACGCTGCAAGAGAAAGAGAGAAAGGAAGGAACAATTTTACGTTATAAACTGTAATACCATATAGTTAATATTAACGAATAGATAAGCGAATATAACGTATCAATTTACCGAGATACCGGCATCCTTCGACATTTTAAAGAGAAAAAAAAACTCACTTGTTTGCGTTGAGAAGTCAATTGCGTTGTCGGGTTTGATCGGCATAGTATTGAGGAAACACAAACTATAATATATCGACACTGTCAAGAAGAAGAAGAAGAAGAAGAAGAATGCGTAATATTAGTTTCATGCGTAATCCATATTTCGTTCCGTCATTTTGTTTTAATGCCGTCACATATATCGCTACGTTTGCTTACTTTCGATTAGTATTAGCAAAATCAAGTGACCGCTGTTGGTTCATCATGTTACAACGTTACTATGTAAAGCTTTTGTAAAATATACATATTAATTTCTCGCAATTTTTTAGTTGCAGGCAGAATTACCCTGTAAGCACACAATATTCCTAGGGTTCCATTTAAAATTCACGACGCTCGTGGATATCACTTCACCCTTGTTGTTATCAAATGTTAAATAAGGATAAAATGACGCAAGTGAGCGTTGCAAACGTTAAGTGGAACGCACCCCTAGAATGTTACATGAATATTATTTACCTTTTTCTCATAATATTCATGTATTCATTTTAAGAATATTGTGTTTTATAAGGCAGTGCCGAGCGCGAGAGAAAGTACCGTATACGATATCGTAATATAGTTCGATTATGTTAGATTTACATTTTAAGTAAAACAATTTGTTTGTAACGATTTGCTGTAACGTACGCAATTACGTGATGCGAGACCTCGACAACATCTATCGAGGGAATGATTACTCCTTGAGTAAATGTGTCCTAACGATTGAGGAGATCATTCGTACCGATGAAGCTTTAATTGCATTTTCGAAAGTGAACTGTACGACGTATAGGAATCTACTGCTTTCCTCTATCCGCATCAGTTTGTATTTGACGTTGATGAGAACGATTGTAGAAAGGTTTCACGTACATGTATATGGCCTTTTTACTGTGCGTTTCAAATATACGCATGACAAGGTGGCACACGAATACAAGAATATTTTATTTTATCTATAATATCCTTATTATTTTAGATTTTCATTTGAATAAAAAGTATCCAAGTGTTCGGTTTAATTGGCAAGTGTTTATGAGATTTGATATACCTAATAGATTTTAATGTGCACATTTCTTAACTTGTCTAATTGTTACAAAAATTTCATAGATACATCTTCTCTTTAATAAAACTTAAAAATCTTACTGATAAAAATGTTTCTTAGAATTTTTATATAATTTTAGTTTTTCAAAATTTTTGAATAATACTAGATTGATGAAAAAATAATGTCGATTTTTGAACTCTCTAGGGGCTTTATTCTAAAAATCTACAATATGTTCGATTGTGTTCATGTTGTATTATTTTCAAGCGCATATTCCATTGTTAATTGTGCTAATAATTTTGTTTCAATATTAACTTTGTGATCAATTGTTATCATTATTATTAAATATGAAAAAGAAACAATTCTGAATTTTTTGAATACAAATTCAAACTAGGTTTTACAATAGAAATGAGTCGAAAACTTAATAAAATATTTAGTTAGGAAACTATAAACGAATGAATGGTATAATGATGATTTCAAAAATTTCGTAACAGACGATAGTTTCGAAAATGAAAAGGGTTAGGGATGGCCTGCAGTCAATGGCGAGTTCAAGATGGCAAAGCGGCTCTAATGACTTTGAAAGCAATTATAAAGTGCTGAGAAAGTCTACATTTAAAAAAAATTTTTACATATACTTAAAAAAAATTTTTGTTCTATAATTTTTAATAAAATTTTATAAGAGATCTGAAAATGTTTAAAGTATTTTTCCAGAAATCATAGAACGAAAATTCTTAAAAATCTACAATATTTCGAAATTTACATATATAAAAAATTTTAAGAGAGAGACTCCTGATTTTACTAAAGTTTCTACATATTTACAATAGGATTTACCAATGTAAGTAAATTAACTTTAATCTTGGTTTAATTGTTTATTTTTTTAAATTCTAGTATTAAAAAAAATAAACAGTATTTTTTTCTAATTCTGAAATAAAAAAAAGATAAAGAGTAAATTGAACCAAGATGAAAGTTTTTTTCGTCAATGTTTTTAAAAAATGTTTCCAATTTGTATAAAAAATTTTAAGACAAATTTCCCCCAAAATAAAAAATTTTGAAAAGTATAAATTAAAATATCTAACAATATAAAACATATCTTATCTAAGGTACAAAAATGACGAATCTCTTCTTTATTGACGAGACAGAAAAATAGGACATTGTAGTTCAACGTTTCGCCACGAAAAGTCTTCCACTTGCTTCCACTGTCTTCGCAATTCGTAAGTTTGTGTACGAAGACGAACTGCAGTATGAAATGTGTTATGCGTGATCATTAGCACAGTATATATACAATATTAACCTCAAAAAACACGAAGGAATTTAATGAATGCAAATCTAAATTAAATTTATACTTGTAATCTTATTTATTCTTGATGTGCCCAGGTTAAAGCTCCGTTTATGTTGATATATTCATACGGATATTGTGGAACGATGTATCGATCAAACAGTCGTTTATAGGTTAGAATCGCCGCTAATATTTCGTTAAGCAACACTCGTGAAACGATGGATTAAAATAATCGATGCACAAAGAACAAAAAATTTATTATTTTAAGTATAAGCATGAATTTCTTAAAGGTCCTAAATCGTCCGTAGCGTGTTTTTAACTCGATCTTTTTTATGTGATATGGTGTCTTTAATTCCATTTATTAGTTTAAGATGGAAGAAGGTTAGCTGCGGTGTTTAATCAACGCCGAGGAATCGAATTTATCACGTTAATTATATTGCAGGCTTGACGAAAAAATAGAGGAGAGGTAGACCTATTTTGGTATAAAAAAAATTATCAGAGCAGCGGGATCCTGAACAAATTCGAAAATGTTTAAAAACACCTTCCAAAGTGGTTTCCTATCCATTCTGTATAGCATCGGCAGCAAGCCCCTGCAAATCTGGGACAAGAAAGTAAGGAATGGACATATCAAGAGGATTACTGATAACGATATTCAAAGTCTTGTCCTGGAAATACTAGGCAGCAATGTTAGCACAACATATATTACATGTCCTGCAGATCCAAGGAAGACTTTGGGCATAAAGTTGCCCTTTCTGGTGATGATTATCAAGAATTTAAAGAAGTATTTCACATTTGAGGTCCAGGTGAGGTTTTTATTGTATTAGTTTATGGAAAAATTAAGGGAAAAGTATTTAATTTAACTTAGAGACCTTATATAAAGTCTAGCTATGATTTTATCAAAATTAGAAGAGAAAGATATAATAATATTTCTTCACTGTATATATACTATCATTATTATCTTATTTATTACAACTTATATTGTTTTACTCTATGGCTATATTAATATTAATAATTAGTTCTTATTTCAAGATTATCTTAAGCAATATTTTGAAATATTAATATATGGCTTTATGATTGACATTTTGAGATTATACTTAAAATGATTTTAAATATAAGAGTTGACTATATAAATACCAATCTATAATTTTAATTAAAATTGTAGAGTGAAGCAGTATAATATACAGTTGAAAAGCACAAGCATAGTGGGAACAAAGTCTATCAAAATCATGTTTACCAGAATATATATAATACAGAGATAGATTAAAATCTGATATTCCTTGTTTCCATGCTTTTTAATTAGGTCTCAGGTTTGTAAATTAGACTGAGATTATATATATATATATATATACAGAAAGAAAGTGTATTTACATTTTTTCCTTATAAGATGACAAAATTGTAATCAGAGTCTGTTATAGGATCTCTGATCTATTTTATTGAAATATAGATTTTTTAAACGAGTTATATCATTGCTATTTTATACCCTTTTACTTACAACCTTAATCATTTTCTTATTAAACTTAATACAATGTTATTAATAATGGACTCCCCCCTCCTTATATTTCTAGAAAAACGAAGAAAATTGAAATTGGTCAAATAGGAGTCAGCGCGGTAAGACTCATTCTCGTTTAAGATCTTTGTAAATTGACGAGGTTATTCTACATTTATTTTAATTTATTATTTGAGACGAAATTATAGTGACCAAGTTTTTTTCTTGTTTTGTATCATGGTTCCACTTGGATAACAATTTCGCTACCAATAAGCATTGTAACTTTTTTGGCCGATAATTGTGCTTTCTGTGTGATTGATCGTTAATGTTCTACTGAGGATGGCTAAAATGTATTGCCGAAACGTCCGGAAATATTAAACATCGATTTAATTATGGAAATTTTAATCGTTGATGTAATTACGTATTATATACGTTTTAGTAAATATTTATTCTATTAATTTGTGCGCACGTCTTACTGTGCTGACTCCTATTTGGCCGATTTCAATTTTCTTTGTTTTATTAAACTTAAATAGGTATTCAGCTGAGAATCAGGAATTAAATCTGAAATCTATTTATTATGAGTCGACTGCTCTTGTATAGAATCATGCATTATTTTAAAAGAATAATATATTTAAGAAAAACTTTTATGAATTTTTTCATTCATTAAATGTTCAATCTGTCTTTCTTAATATAAAAAAATGTACACATTACAGATAATCGACGACAAAAATGTACGTCGCAGATTTCGTGCGAGTAATTATCAATCAACGACGAGAGTAAAACCATTTATATGTACCATGCCAATGAGACTGGACGACGGATGGAATCAAATACAGTTCAATTTAGCTGACTTCACACGTCGTGCCTATGGAACGAATTATGTAGAGACACTGAGGGTCCAAATTCATGCTAATTGTAGGATACGACGAGTGTACTTTTCAGATCGATTGTATTCGGAGGACGAATTACCAGCGGAATTTAAATTATTCTTGCCCATTCAAAATAAGGCAAAATGTTGATAATTAATGAAGGAAATACGTCTTTAGTAAAAAAAAAATGGTCGCATAATTGAAACTTTTTTTAAAGATTTGTTCAAATTACTTTCAAAATAAAAGCTAATTTATTGAAGACTATCTTAACTTTATACGTTGCTCAAATAATTGCAAGTATAATTAATAATATAATATTCATTAAGATTAATTTTTTACTTAATAGAATATAGATCATGTGCATTCGATGTATGTATTAAGAATTGTATAATTTTGCTTGTTACTATATAACTGTGGAAAAAAGTATGTGTGTATTTTTCTGTTCATATATTTTTAATAGAATTCTACTTTTTCGAACAATTTGCTAAAAAGCAGTTAAATTTACTGCTGACCAATACATTTATTTGTATATTATCTTTGTTTATAAACTTCTCTCTCTTGGCCAGAATTTCTTCGATTTGTCATATTATGTAATGATAATTCTACATATATGGCAAGTCTTTTATCCTGTAATTTCTTGAGAAATTTTTGTTCACGCAATGATCTATTATTTTAAAATCTAACAAGTTTTATCCATCCTTAAATTCGTACCTTGTCATTTCGTCCAGTTTTACCTTTTTCTCGATTGTTGTGGATATATGTCGATTTGTTCGTGGATATATTTTCATTTAAATTTTCAGCGCCTTCCTTGATACTAACAAGAGATCTTAAACAATTGGTAATACTTTTATCACTCTCTTTTACATATTTATACTTAGAACGAGTATATCTGTCACTCAGAATGTTACACACATTATTATTTATATTATCAAGCTTAATGTTTTCAGATAGATCGAGTTTAAAAGATGGCGGAGAACCCATGGTATCTACCTTAAACTTTGCTATCGTGGAATTATCTTTTCTTGTCTGCGCCTTATTAACATTATTATTTAATGTGCAGTTTGTTAAATTAATGTATATATCTTCTACTATATTCTGAATATTTTGCAGACATTTTGGAATTCCGTTATCTTTGAGTAATATTTCGCTAACATGCGTTTTTAAAAATTGGCTCTTTGCGATTCTTTTTAATTCAATAGAGGATGCAGGTCGCGACGTATGATTCATTTTTATATTTAGTAAAGAGTTTTCTGTCGTATGGATTTTCATCGCACAATCTTGCTTTACTCTTTCTGTTGCGCCACTACTACCTTTTTCTAATTTATTTTCTATAGCTGCATCATTCACAAAAGATTTTGTGAAATATTCACTTTGTCTTGTAAAAACATGCCGATTACGTTTTCTTATTGTATCGTTTAAAGCATCCAGTGACATGTGATTCTTTTCAGTTAAAAGAATACTTTTCAGTTTTTCCGTGTTATCTGTAGTTTTAGATGAATCAACTTTTGTCAACGGTGTACTACTAGAATTATCTTTGATAAAACAATTCAAATCAGATTGCTCTAAAGATCCTAAAAACCAAAAAGAAATAAATATATGCTAATATGTGTATATACTTCACATTTCTTCGAGAATTTATAAAACCTGTGTAACAATTTTCCGTCTGACAAGCCTTTTCAGTATAATTGATTCCCCGTTTTAACAAATACATATTGAAGAAAGCTCGATACAGCTCAACATGAGTTTCGTCATCATTGTAATGACGATCTTGCAGATATACTCTTCTTAAGTGACAATTTGGATAAATCGTTATTCTTTGCAGAGCCTCATAATCCATTTTATATACTTCATGACAGAGAGTCTGAAGATCTATTTCTAAGAAATTCCAACAATCTGGATCCAATCTTAACGAAATATGAGCCACACTTGCGTTGATATTTGGTAGTTTTTCAACATTGTGGGTCATGAAAGAGAATCTTCTCCGATATTGTTGTTTGTCTATTACCTTCATGCATCAAAAGTAGACAATCATTATTAAGATATTAAGAACAATACGGATCTCTATCATAAAATTTAAAAAGCATGTACTTGAATTTCCAGTTTGAACCGCAAGTTTAGATTTTTTATAACTAATACGAGAATGGGAAGCTTTATGTTCAGGACGTCCAGCGCTTTGGCAGGAATAGTTATGCTTGTGGGGATCGTGTTATCGTAAGCCCCAGTGATCTCGATTACTTTATCCCCATGTAATAGGTCGTCCTTTACTCTACGAACTTTACCACCATATGAAATGTGTTTAGACCATAGATCCAGCGGCTTGTTAGCAACGCTGTATAACAGTGATATGTATCCACAAATCTCGTTCTTCGACATTTTCTCACGGAAGATTTATGTGTGCTATAATTTCACCACAAAAATAGTATTACTCAGCCAAGAATGTTGAGAACAGATTCTATCATAAACGTTTGCTACATTCATTTATAATAAATGTAACAAACATTTATAATAGAATCTACAACAGATGCTACGGATATGATACAGATTTAGACGTATTCAATAGTGTTGACAGAATTTTAGCAGAAATGTAGCAAAACTGTGTCAACAGAATATGATGACAAATCAAGCAGTTTATGTATGAATAAATAATTAATAATGAGAGATATATTTTTTCTCTTATTCATCTTTCTTTTCTGTTACTAACTCAGAAAAGTCGATTCAACTCGATTAATTTTTTTCGCGTACTCCGGCAAATATTATATTTTAGCATGTTCGCTAGTCTCGCTACACAGTTCGACACGAATTGCCGACAAAAATGGAGCGGAATCAGCACACTCGACTTAGCATCTGCTGTCAGGTTATGTCAGAATGCTCCGCTGGCCAAAGCATGGTGTTTTGCTCATTATGGGTAAAACGAGAACAACAAGCTTAATGCGAATAAATCAATGCTGATTTATCAACGATCTCTGAATTATTTCTGATCAAATTCGCTGTCACAGTCTATTGAACGGTCTGCTTACCGTGGGATAAAAGTATATCGATATAACTTCTCCAAAAAGAGTACTGTATAACTTGTTCATTTCTACCAAATATTTCAACATGATTTTTATTCTTTTTTCCTGCAGTAAACCGTGTATGTGGAAAACGACAAGAATTTGACAATTGTTTCCATGATTTTTGTATTCCGGAATCTGAAGAGAGACCTTTAGAGGTTATGTTCCTCTTCATCCGCATTTGTTTCTCCGCGCGTTATTTATCGCGAGTGTGACAAAAATGGCAGAATAATAAATATTTTCGATAAACAGAAGTGCATTTTACAATAGGATCTAAATTCATGATGACGGGGCAATATACAGCGATGTCTATATATTTCACAACGAGTTATGTAAGGCGATAGATAATTAACTATACAGTTAATGTAATAATGAGATATATTTTTTCTCTTATTTATCTTTTTTTTCTGTTTCTAACTCAGAAAGGCTGATTTAACGGGATTTATTTTTCTCGCGTACTTACTCTCCGGCAAATATTATTATATTATATAATCTCGAGCATTATGTAATAATCGTACATACATATGTATTTCGTTTTGTTCGTAATGTTATATTGACGTTTAATTAATTAATAACATATATATTTTGTTGCTATAATTCTATTTATTACAGCATGTCGAAATACCAATGAAATAAGACGCATATTTGATCGAGAACGTCATCATCAATCATTGAACGGCATCGCGATACCTATTATATATTAATTTCCTCAAATTAATTCCATCCATAAATGAATTCGCTGGGGGTGTCTTTTTCTATATAATTCTCTCCCGCGCGCGCATGATTCGGCGCTCCAGCGAAAATCATTCTGTCGCCGGGACAAAAAGGGGAGAATAACAAACGTCGATACGAATAATTAACGAAATAATGATCGTGTCATTATAACGAGCGTGGCGTGATTAAAGGCTGCTGCGGAGGGGGGGGGG